TGTACCTGATAATGACAAAACCTTGTCGAAACGTTGTACATTTGCTGTTATGTTAAACTTATATTAAAATTTTTCTTCATTACCCATTCAAGCCGTCTCCAATCATTATTAGTCTCAAAGTGGGTTCCTCGTCATCGAAGTTATTACAGTTTGAGTTAATCTATGAAACTTTGACTGCATAATCCAGTTTTAAAATTTCCATTATATGAGCGGTTCAACTAAAACGCTAAATAAATGTCGTACTATTAGCATTTATTACTATTTTTTATTTATAGTATTAAGTGGTTTTGATAACGCCAGGGGTAACAACGACCGTGTACAATGAGTCCACGTCCAATCACACCTCAAGTGAGTGCGCCTGCGCGACAGTGTTTCTTCTCTTATCACGTTTTGCATCCATGTGGAGTTGTAATTAATCTTCCTAAACGCTTTTCGTAATAGGCTGTTGTAAATCTCTGTTAAATGAAAACCACCACCACTAAGATAACATTAGGTGCTGTATAAACGAACATCATTTGTTGGTATTTGCTTCACTAGACGTGTTGAAAAACAATAATGTCTTGAAATTGATCATACATTAAAGCCACTCTCACACACACCTTGAAAGATTTCAGGTGTAAATGCACCCCACACCTTGGAGGCTATCAGAAGGTGTAAATACTTTGCCACCTCAGGAGAATTTGCGGGAAGTGTGAAAATCAATTATGTGACATTCAATGACGTCGTGAATATATGTAGTAGCTCACTCTGAGACAACCAATTAATTTGGTGTTCTTTGTTTCCGAATCTCCGTTGTATATTAGTGCCTTGGCGATAAAAACAGGCCTTAACAAACACATGCGCAATAATTAAGGTTGTTGTTAATATATTCATCAATAGATGACGCTTTTTCAAAATAATATTTTATTGACTTTCTTAACATAAAAATATTTAAATTAACAATTTTTTCAAATCATTTCTATTTATATGCAATAAAGTTTTAACAGAATTCTTGATACAAATCAAATGATGAGCAACTTTATTCCATTGAAATGTATAACTGCGTAATTAAAACTGAAAAACAAATTTACCCCCTATATGATGTGTGTGTTCTATGAGATTAATTTTCACTGCGATGTATGTTTAATATTTCTAGCATACAAACACAAAGGTAATTCGTATAGGAGCCAACTTGTGTGGTATTTGGTATTTTTCTTCAAGCGTTTTAAGCCAATGCGCTATTGCTTAACCGTCTCTGGTTAGTGTACTTGTGTGCACTCTTTATGATGTCACGTCTCACGTGATCGAATACACTAACTGGCAGAGCGGCCAAGGTAACGTAACGCTTACATTTCGGCCTGCGGTGGTCTAGTAGGCAAGTGAGTAGACTCGTTATACTCTGGTATGCGAGAAAATGTGATAGGTAGTACGCATGAATGTTTTAGTGCCTTTTCATTCAAAAGTTTATATTTTTAATGAGATACATTTGTAATATCGTACATTTATAATGCGGTAGAAGAGAGTAAACTTCAAGTAGTTTATTTCCAAACTTACCTGGGATACTTTGGTTCAGCGACGGGTACCTGTGCTCGAATGTTTCCCATAGCAACCATTCTTTGTCACGAACTGTTGTAAAGGGCTACCGATTGAGATTGTAGCCATAGCAAGCAACGTGCTCTAAAGCGCGTGAATTCTGTCGTAGTTTGGAACCTTTCAGAAAACAGACTCTAAAATGGTACTGGTGAGTGGTTTAGAAATAGTTTATGCTTTTAAAAACATAAGCACCTGTTTCACAATTTTGTTAAATGTGTACAACGATTAAAAGTAAAAATGAAAACCGACTTTTTTTTTTTGGCACAATGAAAAATAAAATATTTGTTAGATATTTCGGCCCACTAGTTTCAGTAACACAGTTACTATCATCAAGACCTATATGTGATACTGAAACTAATCGCATGAAACATCAGATCTAATAGATATTTTATCTTTCATTGAGCCCCCCCCCCAAAAAAAACCCCGTCGTTTTTGTTTCTAACCCTTAATATAGAAGCACGATGTGCCTTGAAAGAGATTACGTATACTTGATTATTTTAATACTTAAGGTGAAATTTTGTGAATTTTGTTAACGTAAAGATTTACAGACACACGCATAAAAATGCCATATAAAATTCGTTATTAGGCTGGTTAAAATTTCACTTGATTGACGAGAGCTGGTACTGGTGAAAACTTCAACCCCATGTTGGTTATGTTGTGAGGTTGTTGTTTTTTTATGTGAGCTAGCATGTTTCGCAGTTGAGAGCCGCAAGTATAAGGAATTACCAGTGTGTTTAAAGTAGGCTTAACTCTTAAGTAAATGTGCTATTGCTAAAATAAATAAATTAGGTGATTTTATTCCTTTAGGGAACCACTACTAGACTAAGTAACCGTCATGATAGGTATCACATGCCATTACTTCAGTGAAAATATAGAACTGTCGTTTCTTTCCCACATGACTTTTTAAAGACACTTATTGGAAACAGAAAATTTATAAAAGATGCGTGTACGTAAAATATACTGAAACGTATATCATCATTTACAGTATTTTTTAACTGTTTATGAAAAAACACTAATTACCCAATAACTTATTTCGTTTCCATTTCATACTTTGTTCTGTGGACCGATTCGACTGAACAGAAGGAATTAGCTTTAAAATTTACAGTTCGAGTATGACGTGCTTATTATTGAGAATATGTATTGGACTCGGCAATAACGTTCTCAATTCTCTTTCTTAAACTTGTATTTTAAAATGAAAGTGTGTAGTGTATTGTTTTTAAAGTTGTTCTTTCATGTATTCTATTATTATTTAATCTTAACGTGATGCGCCCTCTAGCAGACATTTGAGTAATATCATTAAATATATAGCTTATAACAGCTTGTTCCAAATAACAGGAAACCGATTGGTAATTGTATGCTGCTACTTTAATTTTCGCTTCACCTTTTATAAATATACGGCGTCATATAAGAACGGTGATTTCAGTACCTTCATATTCTTGGAAATAAAGGAGGAAGGTTTTAACTACGATGAAAAAGTTATAGTAAACCATCATAGTAAAAATGCTGACCATCGTATACTGTTTCATGACGCACCAAATATGATGCAGATATTTAGGCCTGCGTTTCTTATCCTGAATGTAGGCTGGGTCGTGTTCCATAAATATAAATCTTGACTTCTTCCTCATAATTAGTTTTTGCAGCTGGTCGACATTAATGTTGGACTTTAACCCTTAACACTTCTGCGGTTTGCACTTTGTATTAATTTCATGATTTGGTGTATGGTTTCATGACTCGATGTCAGATCTAGGACCGTGTTTTGTGTATGTGTGTAGTTTCTGTTCCATAATTTGCCATGACATACCAAATGTTTATTTCCACGGGAAGGTTATCAAAATGCATTTCTGTTGTTATTAATGTTAGAATAAACCATGTAAATAAAACTCGCATAAAATAATGCATTTATACTTCTTTTTTTTTTAGTGAATGTATTCTGTCAAGAATACGTTATCGCGTTCTTTATAAGGGGTTCGAAGAAGACGCTAAAAGTCTTTAAACTGATTAAGTAGATTCAGTTATTTTCTACATGATATTGATATTGTGATATTTTATACTAAATAAAATTGATAAACTCTAGTATGGTTTAACTAAGTTCGATTCAAAAACCTCGCATGTAGCAAAAATATTTTCTGGTGACTGGTGCACAGTTAAAAGAGTTTCGGTATTAACTATTATGTATGTGATCAAAATATGGATCGTACTACATATGTACGAGTCGTTCGTATTATATATGTGAAAGTTATGCTAAGGTTTGTCTGAAAGAAAATTACAGGTTAAGTATGTCGAAAAGCAGTATGTAGCGCGAGTTCTAACAATAACAGCACGTGAGAAATTGTACACAGACTAAATGGCACATCCGTTGACAACGTAAAAATGTTTTCGAAATTAAACAGTCATAAAATTATAAATATACTTCGCTCTTGGTGGCTGTTGAGTTTCTATAAAAATGTGGCTTCAGTGTTGTCGTCAGTCCACTAGAAACAGATTGGTGTTTATTTTCCGAGTAAAATATTTTTCAGTATGAGCATCACAACGTTTAAAGAGTGTAAAAAAATATTCGAATATTTTTGTTAAAAGTGCTATTTACGGTATAAGTTGTGATTGCTATTTTACTTGTATTGGTTGAACTAAGAGGAATTTAAAATACAGATTTAAGGAGCATCAATTAACTGTAATAATAATAATAACATTAAGAATGCCATGGGTTTACTTGTGGCCAAGCACGTTCAGTGGAATCAGATGAAACTTTTGAAAACTCTTTGTAACACGTATGATCTTGTTTATCGAAATAATCCTGAAACATATATCGGGACGGATCCAGGACTTTTAAGGGTTTGGGAGTCTAAATGAGTAGATATCGGAGTCACTCAAGGGAGTAGAATCTAGGGGGGGGGGCGTATCTCCCTAATGAAAAGCTTAAAACTTTTTGAAATTTGAAATCTCACTAAGGCACATTCCTGATAGTTTCTGCTGACTGTTTTTTGCCGATTACTCCCATCTGAAAATTAGCAATAAAAATCTGAGTGACCAGTAATTTCTGCTAACATCGAGAAAATCCTTTCCTTCATTTGCTGTTAGAATTAGGTGAAAATGACCCCAGGAATCATCTTATATCAAGCGCTGTTCACTAAATAAAAACGGGCTAGAGAGAGAAGGATGGAAAGTGTGATGCCGATGAAAAGGGCTCTTTCAAATATCTTGGTGGGTTTTAAATTGATCTTAAAGAAAAGTACCTCTACTGCCATCTTCAACCTTTTAAACATCACAGATGGTCCCGGTCCACTTTTTATACAGAAGTATGAACATAAATGATTCAACACAACGCATAAATAATGTATGTCAATTACACCTCTACTTTTCTTTTGTATTTAATTTAACTTTTCCCCGTTGGAAAAGGGGGCACTCCTGCATCTGGTATTTGTGAAAACCATAATGCAATGAACAGAAATTTGGATCCAGTTACAACTTTAATTAATATTGTGTGACTTGAATTGTTTTATTTATGAATAGTGGTTGCGTTGCCTTATATTGTTACTCCCGATGATGGCATATATTTTAGTAAGTCGAAACATTTAGTCAGTTTTTATTAGTTTGACTTTTTTTTTAATAAATTAATTTAATTTAATAACTTTGTACGCGTAGTTGATAAAATTTTAAGTTGAATCGTGTTAAAATTTATTTTTCATAGAGTTTAATATTTATGGTTTTTAGAAAGCGGTTACGTTTGTTCAAGATTCATGTTATCTACATACAAAATTTGGACTCGGGAAAAAGTCTTGTTAAAGTTTTTGGCAAAAAACAAGAATTAAGATTGGATATCGAATCATTGGAGGGTAGGTGATCGAAATGTTACATTTAATGAATATTTGCACAGTTCAGAAGCATTTTTCAAACTAATGGCGAAATAGTTTTTAAGAATTACCTGTAAATTTTATTGGCCTTACGTAACGTAAAAAAACAAATAGCTTAGCCCTTTATAAATGGCTGTTGCATTCCTCTCATTGCCATATTTGTTAGTGGACAGTATCTGTGAAAGGAGTGACACTATTTTTGTCCTTAGTCTCTTCTTTGCCTTTACATCACATCGTACATAACACTTGTTGTTCATGTAAATTGATAATATAAATAGCGTCTCAACCATTACTGTGTCTATCGTATCCCAGCCAGCCTGATGAGCCCTGATATTGGACGAAAGGTCTCTCGACTCTAGAAATAACAGATGTGGTGTGGTTGACATGTTGTTATACATTTTTATTTACTTTACTTAAGTACGTAGAGTAATTATACAAAACTAATCCTTGCGTTTCCCACATCAACCATCTGCTTTTTGCGAACCACGTTCCTGGAATTATGACCCTATCTCTCCCCTAGTCTGTTGTTTTCTAGCTATAAAATATGCCCAAAGTATCTTCTTTTCTTGATTCCATGGTAGAGAATGCATTAGGCTTACGTTGTAATAGCTGAAGCTAGTGTCGTACCCAGGGGCGGATTGGCCTATCGGGATACCGGGACTTGTCCCGGTG